TGATGGTGAGTTAGACGGGAAGCCCAGGAGTGTAGACACTCTGTCTTTCAACCTCATGAAGCAAAGACAATTCTCCATCGCCTGTTGGCTTGACCTTCAGAGCCCTGACATGAGTCAGAATTGTATGACAACATAATTAGCGGTAATATGGGGACATCTGTGTGACAAACAGAATGGTGATACGCAAATAATCAATCAGACAGCCTCTGTAAAGCAGCCCTTGGTGTCTCAATCTCAATCCCACACCCCAAAAAAAACTTCTAGCATTATCATGGTAACTGGCTGGACAAGTGAAAGTGCTCCCAAAGACCTGCAGCCCCCCTGCCCCCCACCCCCGACTGCATGGGTTCCGTGAGGGTTATTCACGCAGCATTGGTTCCACTTTATTAACAGCTTGTAAATTTCTCATTAACTCATAGGCAATATGAATCACAGGGCTGGGACTTGCTGCCTGTATGCTCAGTGCCTGCACCTGTCTTTTCCATTGAAATACATTGGTGCGAGGGTGTTTTTTTTTAAAACAAAAGTCTTGGGGGGAGCAAAGCTATTGTAATTGTTTTGACCCAGGGTGTTGGCGTTCTGCGCTTGTAAATAATAATAATCCTTGCATTTGATAACGCCTTATCACGTCTTTGAGACGTCTCAAAGAGCTTCACAGAATATACTACAAAGTGAAGTGACTGTATGTTTTTGTGGGCGATATGCGACAGCCAATTGCACACAGCAGAGTCCCACAAACAGTCGTGGATTGAGTGACCGTATTATTATTATTTTTTGAAAGGATTATTAGCCATGGAAAAGCGATCCACCAATCGACTAACAATTGGGTTCCTACTTACTACCAGGTAAACAGAGGCGTGTGAAATAAGGGCCTAAGATTTCGCCCTGCCTGGAATAAGAAGCATTCATATTAATAATAATAAAGTGGGGTGACACAGATTTTGTTCTCCAATGCCCAATTCTGTGCAAAATGTGTGTTTACTATGAAAATATTTGTGCTTTAAAAAAATAATCTTTATAAGCGCTCCGAGTTGCAAACCGAGTGAAGACTATTTTATTGCAAATTGCTGTTATTTGCGAAACGCGAGTTAAATGGATTAGAAGTTTGGTAGGAAACCAATGATTAGCTTTGTGGAGTCCTGCAGTGTAGTGGTTGGACCACTCACCTCGCAAGCGAGTGGACCCGGGTTCGATTCCTGGGCGGGGCGAGACCTTAGGCAAGTTTTCTTACTCCACACGCCTCTGTTTACCTGGCAGTAAGTAGGAACACGGTTGAATTCGATTGGTGGATCGCTATCAGGGTGTAATAATCCCTCAAAAAAATAATAATAATAAATTGGTCATGGGGCACTGTTGTGCGCAATTAACTATATTTCCCCCAACATACAGTCAATTCACTTCACAGTATATCCTGTGAAGCTCTATGAGACATCTCACCGAAGTGATAAGACGCTATATCAAATGCAAGGATTATTATTATTAATTATGACTCATTAATGGCAGAAAGTGGGGGAATGTCACTGTCTGATTCACTGTGTTATCAGCTTTCCAGCTCAAGTCTCAATAAATGGTTTAAAGGGAGCATATTACATGAAAGCAACAAGCGAGACACAGTACAACAGCAACCACAACAAAGTTACATTTGTAAAGCTCCTTTCACGTCGGGAGGACGTCCCAAGGTGCTGAACAGTCAAGGAACAGGACTGTACTTCCTTAAAGCCTGCACGAAAGGCTTTACCTTCCACTTATAAGTTTAACTCTAATTCTGTTCCCCATGACCTTCAGAGGTGTCACATCTCTCTCGGGGACACAAATGGAATCCTTGAATGATTCTCGTCAGCGAGAGGTATTGCTGCACTTGTTTTTTGATGACGCTCTTTAAATTAGATGTTTGTAAATATGGCATCTTTTTTAAAAAAGGTAAAAGTTCAAATGATACACAGAGTAAAGGGGACGTGGATCTGAATATGTCAATATTATACTCTACTAATACCACTGAAATATTATTAATATTATTACCATTAAATTATTAATATACTAATATAATAATCCTTGCATTTGATATAGAGCCTTATCACGTTTTCGAGATGTCTCAAAGTGTTTCACAGAATATACTACAAAGTGAATAATTTTTTTTTAAGGGATTATTACCCTTGGAAAAACGATCTGTCAATCAACTAACAACTGGGATCCTATTTACTGCAAGGTAAACAGAGGCGTTTGGAGTAAGGAAATTTGTCTAACATTTAATATAATATGATAATATATTAATATTGTCATATATACTATTATTATATGGCTATATATGTTACATTAATATATTAACATATTAATATATTGTATTAATACCATTGAAAGTAACTTTGAACTTGGGGAAACTTGTATACAAATATTTTGCACAGGGTCTCTTGTTAAATAAACCCTTTGTAACGGCACACTTTAAATTTGCGTGTGTCTGTCTGTCTGTCTGTCTGTCTCTCTGTCTGTCTGTCTGTCTGTCTGTGCCTCTTTCTTCTCTTTCTGTCTCTTGCCTTTTCATTTGCCTTTGGGCAGCAAACACGTTCCCCTTAAAGTCATCAGCAGCCTCTTTGTGCCAGTGGCAGACGGCGAGAGAGAGTGTAGCAGATATCCGCTCATGTGCAGCCCTTTGACGGTGCATTGAGGCGGATTTGTTCCCTTTAATGCTCCATCTTCCTGTGGGCATTCTGTCCTGTTCAATAGGGGACATGGAGAAAGCGGATGGCTGGCCCCCAATGCAGGGAAGTGACTTCACTGACACCTTTGTTTGCTTTTTACATCTCTCCCCCCCACCCCCCCACCACCCCTCCCTGGTACACTTGCTCGTCTGTGCCTTTCAAAGACTTGCTTTCAAGGTTTAAAACGAGCCCAACATTGGAGACGGCTTCTCTCAGACAAGAAAATCTTTTCAGGTCGACTCAAACTCTCACTTTCAGTCTTGCCAGCTCGCTCCTGTGTCCAGCTACCCAAATGTTCTGAAAAAAAGCTGAACGCGATCTCCAGCAGGCGCGCTGTTATAGCATAAATCATGTCCTGCTTGCATAACGTGTTTAGCTTCTTATGGCAAGCTAATGTGGGTTTAGCTGGTTAGCCTCCAGCAGTTTCCCCAACTCACACTCTGAGGTCCCCCAAGCCTCGGCTCTTATCAACCTGCGCCTAATACTTTTCGGAATTAGGTAAGCAGGATGCATCCCTCCAGGGAGAGATTGAGAGAGTGCGCGTTCCATTCCCACAAGCTATCTCTCGAAATTTCATGTGTAGGTGGGATGCATGGAATTCTCAGCTTGGTTCGGAGACTCTTAAACTGGGTGACGAAAGGGGCGCAGGTAGACAAGGGACAAAACTTTGGGAGCCCAGAGTGTGCGTTGTGGGACTGGTTTAGAATCTGGAATGATAGTTTCGCCCAGGAGTTGTTCTATTAAAAAAAATTGGAAATATAATAATAATAATAACCCAGGTGCGCTCGCTTGCGACGTGAGTGCTCCACAGGACTCCACAAATATGAAGTAAAAACAAAAAATGCGCACCTTGTGTGGGTTTCTATCAACAAATATATCCAGATTGATATTTCTTCATTTTAGTGTTAACCTGGGCAACAATATCCAAAGGAACGTTTGGAGTAAATAATGTTGGACTTGCTCTACGCAGCGATGAGGTGATTTTAACATAACAATAATAATAATCCTTGCATTTGATATAGCGCTTTTCATGTCTTTGAGACGTCTCAAAGCGCTTCCCTGAATGTACTGTAAAGTGAATTGACTGTATATTTGTGGGGAAAACAGGGCAGCCAATTCCGCACAGCAGTGTCCCACAAACAGTTATGGATTGAGTGATCAAATTATTATTTTTTTCAGGATTATTATCTCCGGAAAAGCAATTTGCCAATCGACTAACAACCGGGTTCCTACTTACTGCTAGGTAAACAGAGGTGTGCAGAGTCAGGAAAATTGCTTATGACGGACATTTCATTACTGTACATATTGCACAACATCTGGAAGTATTTTTGCCAGCGGTGTAGGATCCCTGATTTAAACTGTAATGTGCGCAACTCATCGAATTCCCTGCATCATAAAACGTGGGCAATTAATTCCTTTGCGTTAGGTTTCTAACGCCACAGCGTTAGAAACATCCCTGACATCTTTCTGTATATATATATAAAAAATATCTTTTTAATGAGAGAGAAAAAGTGGAAACGTGAAATAAACAGCGAGAGAGAAATCAGGAATCATAAAATAAATAGAAAAGAGAAGGTACATCATCAAAGGGAGGGAGGTATATAAATCTATATATATATATAGGATATATACAGGGTAATGAAAAAGTCGTGACATTACAATGTCTAATAAGTGTTAAAGAAATAATATTAGTAGTAATTAAGTAATTATTCTTAAAATAAATGGTATCACGACTTTTTAGATGTACCTCTTTTTTTTATATGTAGAATCCCTGACTTTTTAGTCACCCTGTATGTACGTGTATGTATGATATATATATATATACGTGTGTATATGTGGTGATCAAAATTGGGAAATAGAGAGCAGGGAAACATAACGGACGAAAATATGAACCAGGAAGGTTCGGGGAAAGGGTAAGGAAGTGGGAGAAATAGAGAAAAAGACAGGAGCTTGCGAAAGAGACAGAGAGAGAGAGAGTGAAGGAGGGAGTCTGCGAGAGGAAGATAGAGAGAGCGAGAGAGACAGAAAGAAAGAGAGAGATAGATAGATAGAGAGAGAGAGAGAGAGAGAGATGCCATGCAAGACAGACTTGGGGAAAGAGTGTCCATTGAAACAGAAGTCAGGCCAATCGCACTGACCAACTGGTGAGGTGCGAATCACCATTGGCTGATGTCTGGATACAGCCCTCCACACTGTCACATTTAACAGGTCCCTTTACAACCAGCAGAGCCTTAACCCCCCCCACCCATCCCACCCCCACTCACACACACACAAACCCCACCCACCCCCTACACACACACACACACAACACCTCAACCCCCTGGACACACTTCCACAGAGTGTAGGGAGGGGAGGAGATGGGGGTGAGAGACACAGAGACAGACACACAGAGAGTGGGGTCAAAACAGACCAATCTCTGCAGTCCACTTGGGGCTTCAGAAGAACACACACACACACCCAGGTCTAAAGTTGTTGTGTGTGTGGTGTGTGTGTTGGTGTGAACTATTTGTAGTATAGATATCAGATTATTATCTATTTACACACACACACAAAAAAAAACATACTGACTCTGGACTTCAGACCATGAGCGAGTTGCTGGAGTCGACATCAAACGAACGACTGCTCGTCACCTCTTCCTTATACAACAACCTCGTTCCTTCTTCTTCTCCTCCATCTCCTCCCTCTCCCTCTCCATCTCCCTCTCCTCCATCTCCATCCTCCTCTCCGCCTCCACCCTCTCCTCCTACGCGCAAGGACCACCTGAGCGCAGAGAGGACCCGACCATCCCCAGACCACCACCACCACCACCACGGCGACCACCACCACCGGCACCACCCCCAGCACCAGCCCAAAGCCAGCCCCGGGGGACCAGTAGCCAAGCTGAGGAGCAAGAAGGAGCTGAGTCAGGGAGAGCAGCAGCTGCTCAGGAAGAAGATCAACAGCCGGGAGCGCAAGAGGATGCACGACCTGAACCTGGCCATGGACGCCCTGAGGGACATCATGCCTTACGCCCCCCACGGACCGTCGGTCAGGAAGCTGTCCAAGATAGCCACCCTGCTACTGGCCAGGAACTACATCCTGATGCTGACCAGCTCCCTGGAGGAGATGAAGAGACTGATCGGGGAGATGTACGGCCGGAGCAGCGGCTCGGGCTCCCGGCTGACCCAATACCCGGTGCTGACGACCGGGGGTTCGTGGTTGCTCGGGGCCGCCGCTGCAGCAGCAGCAGCAGCCTCCTCCTCCTCTTCTTCCTCCTCTTCCCTCCTCCTCCGTCGTCGTCGCCCCCACCCCACCCCCACCCCGGCTCTCAAGTGCCCCCTGAGCTCCCACGGCGACCAGAGCTGCTTCCAGCAGTGGCCGAGCGGGGGGTCCCCGCCTTGCGCTTGCGCTGCCTGCAGGTTCCACTACGCTCCGTCCACTCTCAACAGCCTCCCGACCAGGTTTCCCAAGTGACTTGGACTTGGTGGGGGTGGGGGGGGCTTGTGTGGGGTGGTGGGGGTGGGGCGTGGGGGGCTTGTGTGGGGGGTGGGGGTGAAGGAGTGGTTACGTAGCGGTAAGTAGGAACCCCGGTTGTCGGTCGATTAGCGTATTGCTTTTCCGGTAGCGGTTGGGGTGGGTGGTGGAGTGGGGGGATGCGGGGGTGTGGGGGCTGGTGGCTGGGGGTGGGGGAACTCTGTGTGTGTGTGCGTGGGATGGGGGGCTGGCGGGGTGGGGAGGGTGAGTGAGAGAGAAAGAGAGAGGTGGGGGTGGGGGGGGGGTTGTTAATCATCTCCGGAAAGAGAAAAAAGGACGAATAATAGTTTCGGGGCTCCAACCCCCGCCCGCGAGTGTTTGGGGCGGGGGGGGAGGGTAGTGTGTGGCTGCTGCGTTTTGCCCGCAAAATACGTACTCGGTTCGCGTTCGCTTAGCAGTATATTCTGCGGGAGCGCTCTGAGACGCCTCGAAGGCGTGCTGTATTCCCCTATAAATTGGTGGGTCAGTTTCCCCGCCCGCACCCCCCCCCGGGTAGGAATTCTCCAGCGGTAATTTCAAACGTTCCCCACTAGTAAATTGCCCTTCCATCATCATCGTCGTCATCGTAACAACAGTGAAGTTAATGGCGATTTTGTTGAGGCGGTTTTTAACAGAGTTTTCTACAAATTTGACAGAATATCATTTGGTAATTAAAGACGTCGTATGATTATTACTTATTAAGATTCCCGCTTTCATATTCTTTTAATCACCCTCAGGTTTTGAAAGAAATTCACGGAGCATTCGCTTCATCTGTGGAAATCTGCGTTTGATGTATCTGGACGGGGAATAAAAGTGCCCCCCCCCAACCCCCCCTTCGAGTTCAGTCCTCACCAGTGACAATTCCTTAAAAGATGCTCTGGGGGGAAGGGGGCGGTGAGGGGTGGTGGGGGTTGGGGGGTGGAATGGACAGGGACGACTCAACTGTATTGTACAAAAAAAATCACTAGTCCATCCGCAGTTAAAGACACTGTACAGAATGCAAAAATGTGTTTTTGTAAAAAAAATAGAAACGTTTATACTTTTTCCCTTCATTTACTCCACACGCCATTGGTTTTTAACTGAGGAGTAAATAGGAGCTCGGTTATTAGTCGATTGGCGGATCGCTTTTCCCGGGGGTAATAATCCCTGTAAAAATAATAATAATAATAATAATAATTGGTCACTCAGTCTACGATTGTTTGTGGGGACGCTGCTGTGCGCGATTGGCTGCTGCGTTTCGCCCACAAAATACACAGTCAATTCACTTTACAGTATATTCTGTGAAGCGCTTTGAGACGTCTTGAAGTCGTCATAAGGCGCTGTATCAAATGCTACTATTATTATTATTTTAATATTGTGGGAGTTTCGCTTTGTTTACATTCAGTGTTTAGGTTTAGAAGGAGGAATGAGAATTTCATTGATGTTACGCGTCCAAATCTGCTTACTGTTTTGAGGTATTAATGAAGTATAGATATCGTTTTCTGGTTAAGAGTCTCCTGTTTGCTGTGTTAAATCATCTCATTGGTTTTCTCACGATGCAGTTGGGAGGAACAAATATAGTTTGTGTGTGAGTGAAAGCGAGAGAGAGAGAGAGGAAAGCCAGACCGAAAACCAAACAAACTAACTGTATTTTACTTTGTACGAGCATCATTTCGATCATCAAGGCTTAACCAGCATGAGTTTTAAAAACACAAAGCAACCGTTTTAAGATGTCTTAACAATTGTAACTGTAGCTATTTATTGTCATATTATATTTTCTGTGATGTCCTTGTTTTATATTTGGTATCAGAAAATAAACCTTTTAAAAATGCAACCGAAAATTACTTACCAGTGATTGTTGACCGTGTTATCTAACCATCTGTATTAAGTGTACAGTTATATGCAATAAACGTTTTGATATACACAACTTTGGCTAGCATGTGATTATAGACATTGAATTGTTGACGTGCCACTCACTCTAATGCTGATGTTCGTTTCCCCGAAGGGTGAATATTTTGAAGGCGCCTCTCCACTAAAGCAACAAGTGGAGTCCTGTAGCTTAGTGGTTAGCGCCTTCGCCTCGCGAGTGAGAGGACCCGGTTTGGTACCCGGGCCGGGGCGAAACATTGGGCAAGTTTCCTACTCCACATGCTCCTGTTTACCTAGGATCCCGGTTACTAATCGATTGGACTGTTTTCTCCAGGGGTAATAATCCCTTAAAGAAAAAAAAATGTGATGACTTCAATCCACGACTGTTTGTGGGACACTCCTGCGTTCCGCCCACAGAATGTAGTCAATTCACTTTACAGTATATTCTGTGAAGTGCTTTGAAACGTCTCGAAGACGTGATAAGGCGCTATATCAAATGCAAGGATTATTATTCTTATTATTCTTATAAGATCGCTTTGATCGACAGGTGCTCTCATAGACACGTGTTGTAGACGGTTCATCTCTCTCTCTCTCGCTCTCTAACAAACCCTGAAGCTTTTCTGGATTTTCAGAATGGACCGAAAAATGAATTGTGATTTGCTCATAACGTGAGTATTTATCTTTGAAACAAAGAAAAAATCAAACATTGTTTGTGGGACGCTGCTGTGCGCAATTGGCTACTGTGTTTCGCCCACAAAATATACATCAATTCACTTCACAGTATATTCTGTGCTGCGCTTTGAGATGTCTCGAAGACGTGATAAGGCGCAAAATAAAATGCAAGGCATATTATTATTTACTGGTGGTGGTGGTGGTAGTTTCTTGATGCATTTTGGGGTTACTTTTGGAAAATGGGTGGGTGTGTGGGAGGGTTGGGGATTGTGAGCTACTTCTGACAAATGTTTGAAGTGCTTTGAGACGTCTTGAAGACATGATAAGGCACTGTATCAAAAGCCCAGAATTATTATTATTATTATTATTATTATTATTATTATTATAAACTGTTTAAGCTTTGTCTTTAAACCAAGATAAAATGGATGGCAGGGTAACCCCTTTTAAATATTTTAATGATGGTTTCAAGTACTCCGCAGTTTACTGTAATGAGTAACATCCCCCAAAATGTGCAACTATTGTACAACTATATGGATTTAATAATAATAATAATCTTTGCATTTGATGTAGCACCTCATCACGTCGTTGAGATGTCTCAAAGCGCTTCACAAAATCCATGGTAAAGTGCTTTGACTGTATATTTTGTGGGTGCAACGTGGCAAAGCAATATCCTACAAACAGTCATGGATTGAGTGACTAAATTATTATGACAATTATTATTTTTTAAAAAGGAAAGCAATCCGCCAATCAATTAACAACAGGGTTCCTCCTTACTGCTACGAAAACCGAGGTATGTGGAGTGAGGAAACTTGCCAAAGGTTTTGCCCTGCCCTGGACCTGAACCTGGGTCCTCTTGGTTTATATTTTGTTCACCAGGTATTTTGTCAAGACATTTCTAAATAGTCCCAATTGCACCATTGGTTATAAGAAGCATGTTTGTTTTACAATGCCATGTATTATTATTATTATTATTATATTTTTCAATGAAACAAAAACATTGATATCATTACTTTTTCAAAAAATTAAGATCAACATTTAAAAAAAAAAGCATTTGGCTACTCAATTCACGACCGTTTGTGGGGACGCTGCTGTGCTCAATTGGCTGCCGCACTTTGCCCACAAAATATACAGTCAATTCACTTTACAGTATATGCTGTGAAGCGCTTTGAGACGTTTCGAAGACATGATGAGGCGCTGTATCAAAAGCAAGGATTATTACTATTACTTTTACTCACTGGGACGTGATTGAATCTGTCAGTGTGTGTCAGACAATATGATGTCAGGGCTTTGGGTTCATTTAAGGAACAGCTTCATGTTGTATTGGATTTAGTATTTTGGAACAAAAACAGAAGTCGCTGGGAACACTCAGTAGGTCAGGCAGCATCTATGGAGAAAGGAAAGTGAGTCAACGTTTTGGGTCCACGACCCTTTGTCAGAACTGGGGGCATGTTGGGAGGGAGAGGGTTTTAAGGACGAACAGAGAAGGGGGGGGAGGCAGATAGCTTTGCGAGGGTAATAATCCCTTAAAAAAAAATTTGGTCACTCAATCCATGAGTGTTTGTGGGACATTGCTGTGCGCAATTGGCTGCTGCGTTCGCCCACAAATATACAGTTAATTCACTTTACAGTTTGTTCTGTGAAGCGCTTTGGGACGTCCTCCTGACGTGAAAAGCGCTATATCAAATGCAAGGATTATTATTATTATTATTATATTCTGCGTTTGGCCCACAAACTATGCAGTATATTCTGTGGAGGGCTTTGAGACATCTCAACGATGTGATAAGATGCTATATCAAATGCAAGGATTATTATTATTGTAGTACGAATGACACCTTGTGCCACAAATAGCACGTCGGGAAGCAAAATGCGCTTTCCTCCAGGGAATTCCAAGTCCGTCACAAGAACTCGGCTCCGTTTCATTTACCTAGAAGAAAGGGTCACTGCACCTGAGATGTTTTGATATGATAAAAGTTCTTTCTTTCCTTATCGCTGCTTGTCGGTCACTTCGGCGCACAAGCTGATTAAACCCCCGCAAGTTATGTGTAGCTCTGTTTACATGACAGCTGCTAATTCAGTGCTGTGCCAGACTGCAGCTGTTCATATTAAAATGCACCATGCAAACACTGCACGTTTGTTTACCCTGCTCTTACTGCGAAGCACAAACACCCACCGCATGTTGTCAGTTTTCATGCAGCTGCGGTTCACGGTGATTAGAGTCAGGCTCATATAAAGACCCTGACCCGATCTGCCTGCTGGTTCATTCTCCTTTCCACAATGCAGACCATGCATCGGAGAGCAATTTGACACAGTCATGAACCATCGGTGGCGTATCCTTCAGTCCAGCTACGGCCCTAGTGGCTGGAACGCCAACCCTCAAATCCTTTTGCCTTGTGTCNTTTTTTCCGAAGTCCTCTTATTAATATAATTATAATAATAATCCTTGCATTTGATATCGCGGCTTATCACATCCCCGAGACGTCTCAAAGCGCTTCACAGGATATACTGTAAAGTGAATTGACTGCATATTTTGTGGACGAATCTGCCAATCGGCTAACAACCGACTTCTGACTTACCACTAGGTAAACAAAGGCTTAAGTCTTACCTCTCAAAACCCTGTTTAAAAGTTATCCCTTCAATCGTCCCTTTTGTTTCCTCACTGTCCGGAGATCACTATTATCACTGTGGAGCACTTCGAGAAATTGATTCTGCATGAAAAGTGTTATATACGGTGCTATATATATCCTGTAGCATATTGGTTACAGCACTCACCTCGCAAGCTAAAGGACCTGGGTTCGATTCCCGGGCAGGGCGAAACCTTAGGCAAATTTCCTTACTCCACACGCCTCTGTTTACCTAGCAGTAAGTAGGAACCCGGTTGTTAGTCAATTGGCGGATCGCTTTTCCAAGGAAATTATCCCTTGAAAAATAATCATTTAATCACCCAGTTCATGACTGTTTGTGGGACACTGCTGTGTGCAATTGGCTGCCGTGTTTTGCCCAATAAACATACAGTCAATTCACTTTATGAAGTTATAGAATCATAGAATTATACAGCACAGGAGGCCATTCGGCCCATCGTGTCTGTGCTGGCTCTTTGAAAAGAACTATCCAAATCAATCCCACTCCCTCGCTCTCTGCCCACAGCCCTGCAAACATGTCCTCCCCAAATGAGTGCCCCAAATAAGTGCTTGTGACATCTTGAAGATGCAAAAAGGTGCGATTCATTCCAGCCATAAACTATAGCCATTTTGAAGTTTACTGCCAAAACCTATTGTGGAGCAATCTAGGTGG